GATCTAGAGATTTTCTACCAGCCAGGATTCCAGATGCACATTGCAGACACACTGTCAACAGCGCACCTGTCAGACATGTCCGGAAAGGGCATGTCCACGCAACACAGTTGATCGTCGTCACTGAGGAACGCTTGCAGTAGGTCCAACGGTCCACTGTGGAGGACAAACTGTGCAGGCTACTGAAGCACACGACACTTAACGGATGGCCCGAAGACAAGGAAAAGCTACCTAAGGAGCTGATTCTATGCTTCCATTTTCATGACGAACTCATTACTCAGGATGGATTAATATTCAAAGGCAACAGGATAGTGGTTCCAAAGGCACTGCGACGTTCTTTGCTGGAGCTGATATACTGTGCACATTTAGGCGCCAACAACTGCATGGCAAGAGCTAGAAAGTTGTTGTTCTGGCCTGGAATGACCCGCCAAATAGATGAATATCTCACCAATTGTGTCGCATGCAGGAGATCCGACGTACGACAGCCAAAGGAACCGATGACGCTTCGTGGCATTCCTGACAGACCCTGGTAGATGGTTGCACTACACATTTTTGCTCACGACGGAAGGAACTACCTGATTGTGGTAGATTATTTTAGTGACTACTTCGAGAGCGATGCTCTTACGGTGACTAGTACGCAGACTGTGATGAACAAGTTGCGGTACCAATTCGCTAGGCATGGAATACCCGAGGTGGTGATTTCCGACAACGGACCGCAATTTAATAGTGCAGAGTTACGTGAATTCAGCAAGAAGTGGGATTTTCTCCTTTGGTTAGCCAGCTCATACCATAGCCAATCAAAAGGTAAGGCTGAGTACGCAGTGAAAGAAGCGAAGAAAGTGTTTACAAATACCAAGGGGACTCGGGATGATCCCTACATAATGCTACTGGATCGAAGGAACACATCATCTACTGATATCGAAGCCAGTCCCGCACAGGGTCTATTAAGTCGCTGAACAAGAACGCTAATGCCGACCGTTACAACTCTACTGCAGCCGAGATAGCGCCAGTCGGTGTTCCTCACGACCGACTATGGAAAAAAATGTTAAGGCAAAAGCAGTACAATGAGCGCGGGTCAAAAAGCATCCCACCCTAGCTACGGGAGAAGAAGTATGGGTGCAGCCAGTACCGGAATCCAAAGGATACGGGCGAAAGGGAGAGATCGGATGCCGGAAGGGAGAGAGGACCTACGAGGTCAAGTTTGGGGTAATATCATTCGAAGGAACCGAGTGCAACAGAGAAGAGCGCGTCACGGGTGAACACCGCAGAGAGGGTCGGCAACAAAAACCGCAGAGGAGTACTGCTATCCAAGACCAAAACATGAAACGCGCCCGAAGTGGGAGGCAATACGGAACGCACTGTAACACCATTCTAAAAACCGAAAAAGGAAAGGATGTGATGGGGACTGGAAATGCTGTCGTGGTAATATGGTAAAAGACGACTTCTATCACCATTTGATCGAGCTCATTCTCCACAGAAGAAGCACGGACATTGTTGTGCTGGCTAAGGATCTGAACGTTCAAGTTGGAAAATTATCCACTGATGAACTGCATCAGGGCGGCCAACCTGGTGTAGGCTCCCGTAATGATAATTGTGAGCGGTTACTTCATTTGTGTGAAGATGCCCGCTTATTTATTGCGAGCACTAATTTCTGACACAGCAACCGTATGTGCTGATCTGCCGATGCGTTTTGTCGGACGCCCACGACGACGCTGTGAGCGCATTGACACCAGGCAACTAGCGAAACCAGCTGTTCTGAATGCCTATCAAAGTACGCTGTCATGCGAATTGAGTAAGCGCTTACTGGATGCAATTGAAGCTCACTGGTCTCATGTTCTTCAGTCTTTACTAGCAGCAGGCAAATCCTCATGTGGTATGTCTAAAAGCCAACATGGACATTGGGTCTCTTCGCAGTCTCTGGAACTTGTCGACGCTCGACGGCATATTCCGGCTGGAAGCGAACACAATGCAACTCGCAAAGAGCTCCGGACAACAATCTGTGCTAGCCTGAATGGAGACCGCGAACCTTGGTGGTCTCATCGTGAATCAGAGATGGAAGTGACCGCTGCCCTTGGCAACGATCGTAAGTTACTCCGTCTGATACGGGAAACGGGCAGCAGGAGACTTGGTGTTAGTGAAAATATATGTGACCAGAGTGGACAGCCTATCCACAACTTGTCAAAAAGCTTAGAGCCTTGGGCTGAGCACTTTGAAACGCAATTTAATCGGTCGGAGTTGTTAGATTTCTCGCCGGTCACTGATCGCCCTGCTCCGTGGGATGTCCGTTTGGATCCACCCTCTCGCTCAGAAGTCGAACGTGAGTTCGCACTGTTGAAGCTAAATAAAGTCGCGGGACCTGATGACCTTCCTCTATCCCTCTTCAAATTCGGGGGACCTGCTCTTGTGGATGATTTATACGTTACTAGTGAAACTGCGGGAGCAGGTAACTGTCCCAACCGACTGAAGCCGCTCCGCCATAGTCCCAATTTTCAAGAGAGGCTCACGATCGGAATGTGGCAACCATAGAGGAATCAGTCTGATCCCCATCGCCTCCAAATTGCTTGCCTCTGTCATCCTTCGCAGACCGACTGACACTTGTGAAAGCCAGATTCGTGAAGAGCAAGCCGGGTTTCATCGAGGTCGTGGCTGCATCGACCACATCTTCATTTTGCGTCAGTTGTTGGAGCACCATCACATATATTTTGGCGGCCCACCGTTGTCGTGTTTCTCGATATCAAAGGTGCATTCGATTCGGTGGATAGACATGCACTTTTGGACTGTCTACTCAGGAAAGGTGTACCTGAGAAATATGTAAATATTATCCTTGCATTGTATGCGCGTAGCTCGGGCAGAGTGAGGGCTTACGGCAAGTTGTCGTCGCCCTTTAATATCTCCAGCGGTGTGGTACGAGGATGCCCGCTGTCCCCTTTCCTCTTGAACTTCGCTATTGACGAAGTCATGAAAATCGCATTCACAGGACACGACTTAGAAAGTTTGGATCTGCTCCCAGGAGAACGACTTCTTGATTTGGAACATGCTGACGATATTGACCTTATCTGTGGCAGCTCCCAGACATGCCAAACGGCACTGGACAGATTAGCACTGGCTGTCAGCCGCTTAGAGCATTGCTTCGCGCCATTGAAGTGCAAAGCGTTCCTCCAAGATTGGCCTGTACCGCCTCCTTCGCTGACCCTTAGTGGGGATCAACTAGAAGTCGTTCAAAAATTCAACTACCTGGGAAGTTGTATCAGCGCCTGTGGAATTGAAGATGAGATCACGAAACGTATAGCAAAAGCTGAAGGCGCTTTTGCTAACCTTCCCTACTTATGGCGCCAGCGCGATATCACACTTGCCCTGAAGGGTAGAGTGTACAATGCAGCGGTACGTTCGATCTTACTGTACGGTTGTGAAACCTGGTCCCTTAGATCAGCGGACATAAAGAGGCTAGTTACGTTCGACCACCGGTGCCTTCGCCACTTAGCTCACATCTAGTTGGAACACCGCGTGAGCAACGAACGTGTTCGACGCCTTGTTAACGGCACAGGAAAAGTAAATGAACCGCTCAGCACCGTCCTTTCACGCACCAGGCTCCGATGGCTCGGCCACGCGTTACGCATGCCAACCCATTGACTCCCGCGACGTGCGTTGTTTGGTTTCCGGGAGTGTGGATGGAAGAAGAGGAGAAGTGGCCAAGCGATGACTTGGTCGAGAGGAATGAAGGCCCTCACGTCGACGCTGGTATCGCTTGGAGCGTGTCGGCTCCCTGTTTGGGCTCCGAAAGACGATGAACACGTTTGGCTGGATACAATTGTTGATATGGCTAGGAGCCTATCTCAGTGGCGTTCGCGCTGTGAGTTCCTTTATCCCACCCCACCCCTCTTAGCCTCCCCCCTTCAACCCCGATCTCATTATTTAACATTTTATAGTTTCGCATAGTAGATATATTTTCTGTTGCATAGTAGCCGGCAGGTAGCTTACCGGAACGATGCCCATCCGTTTTCTGTAGCTCAGCTGGCTTGAATCTGTTGCATTTTATTCCGTTTTTTCCTTTAGGTATTGCGGCACAGTAGCTGAAGTGTTTCCCACCTCTAGCTAACGTATATAGTGTGTGTGTGTGTGGTGGTAAGATGTCACACTTTGATGTCAGTTGTTTAGTCGTCGATCGAGCTAAACGATTTCGTGCCAACATTGAAAGATGGTCGTTCGCTACAAGAGGCGAACTAAAGGATAGTCCACTAACGACCGGAGTAAACTCCTGTGTGCTAATGATGTCTCCATCTCCGATTATGCGGTTGGCTTAATCTGGACAGTATCATGTCTCCCGGTTTGTGTATTCCAATGTGCATGAATTGTGAAACGCTGCCCATGGTAAACGACAAACGCAAAGTCAGCAAACCCTACGGATACCTGGTGGCCAGGTAAGCGCGTCATCACACTAGCGGGCACCCAGTTTGTGTTAGCTGTATTTTATTAGTGGTCCTCCAGCGCCACAGTTGTGTAGTGGTAATTACATTGTCTTCTTTGTTAAGGCGGAATGCTGAAAACATCAATATTCCGCAGCGAAGGAGCTACTGACCTCTCGCGCTTTCCCCTTATATTCAGGCTTCCGCATCGTTCAACTGGAAGCGCATTTAGAAATTTTGTTATCATCGTTAGGGTATGCACTGGTCATCGGTGGTTTTCCAGAGCTCTTGTAGGCAGTACGACCACGTCGCACACACTAACCTGGGTTTAGAAATGTAAACATGCACCCGGCATGGTGTAAGATCCCCGATCGATTAACAGTTTGGAAAATTATTGGTATGCGCTGTCTGACATAGCTTCTTAAATGAAGTGCTTTCACAAGACGAGATTATTCATGCACTTGCAGTTATAAAAACAAAAGCCTTCGCAGCAAAAACCATAATACAACTTCATTCTAATCAAGACCAGTTAGACTAAGATGGTTTGGAGCAAACGTATGTCAATGATGGCACATTTTCCCTGGCGAAATGTTTACTCACTTTGGACATTGGAGGATCACTGCTATGCACACGTCGAGCAATCACATCCCAATCCTTTTGACTGTCAACTCCAATGCGATCCAGCACTCGATTTCGGAGGAAATCAGTAAGGTTGAAGTGAATCAATCCCGGTAGCTTCTCACAAAGGGCCTGAGCTTGCTCCGTCCTACCTGAGCCAGGTCCGCCTGAGAGTACACGAGGTATAGTTGATAGCGGACATTCGCATCATATGGAATTACGCTTCACCAGTCTCGTTAAAACTCAGCAGGCATGGAATTCCAGCTACACCGACTATAAAAATAGCTACGTTACATCGGTGAGGTAATTCCATGTCGACTACATTAAATGCATTTACGTATTGCTCGAAAGCAAAATGGAAATACGTATGGTTTGGTCGAGAATATGGAACTGGCGGGTGAATTGGAATGTAACGGACATCATAAACTAAAAAATGAACACCATGACTCTTTAGCGCATTCCAAGCTCAACTTGTTCTCCATATACCGTCCCACTTTCCTTATGTGTTGCAGGCGAACACGAATAAACCTTTAAACTGACTGCCCTCTGTTGTGTGAATCTCTTCGTTTCAAAAGCCCAATACACCGGTCAGTGGATTCTGGTCTGCTTAACCATTCGACCACCAAGTAGAAGGACCTGAACCAGCGAATAAATAGCGTAAAACACCCCGACAACAAACAGGGAGAAAAACTCAGCTTTGCTAAAACTGTTTAGAATGATAAATTCTCTCATTTCAAGTGTATCACACGCAAACAATTTACATGTACTTCCCGGAGCCAACTGTTAAATAAATAATTAAGCGTATTGTTTATACTCGACAGGGGGAATGCACGCCTATATAGGCATAATCATGGTAAAACAAATTCGAAGGATCAGTAATTGTATCAAAAATGTTAAGTTAACCAGTTACAAAATAGATATGTGTGTGAAGGCGCGCATGTCTGTATGTCGCGTCATGCTGTGCTTGATGTTGCATATATCATGCTTTTTCACCGCCGTTGGGCTACACCGACTTACACGTAAACTAGATCTTCTTAAGCTGGATAAAATGTATTCAACTTCACTTGATTCACTCCGTTCTGCTATGTCGCCGTATATTGATAGTGCAGTTTACGTGGTTATTTTGCTTTAAATCCGGTGTTGGTTGTTTGATATCCGCGGAGTGGCTGCGCTTGATGTGAATGCTGACAAGGTGCCTACCTGTCTAACACCCCACATCTCGATTACCGGGTCCAGGAGACTGTGAATGGTCGGACAGAGTGCATGGTCCTCGTGACCATGCTGCGCTTAAAGTGTGTTTCCATTCAGCGGAGTAGGGCTCAGCCACCGCCTTTTGCACGTGCGGTAAGTATGCTTCCCCACATAGATAGGTAAGAGTGCTGCTATTGCGCATGCCGAAGGATTATGGGCCGGCTCCGTTGAGGAAACGTGACTCAAATCCACATGCCGCCCGGTTTTATTCCTTTGAGTTTACACTGGATATGGGGTGTGTGGTTAGAGCTGTGGGTGGTGCAGCGCAAGCCACCTATGGCTCCACTGTAGAAACAGGCGTACTGTGGAGGCCGCAATGACAGGTAAACCTGAAACCGGATGTCGTCAACCATGTAGGTTGCGTTTATTATGCATCACCCTAATTGGGTTAGAGACACAATTCAGTTTTACCGCATTATGTTAGATCTGATAGAATCCATTTTATTCGTATTTGCCCGATTCTTCTTATCCTTTGCATATTTCCTTTTTTATTCCGTGCGTCCTTTGCTCGCCTTCATTGTCGATGTTAGTCGGTTGTAACCCCCGAAGTTACAATTAAATTTACCCAATATCACGGCAACAATAGATCAGAATTAATACACTTTTTTATTGGTTCAGCCCTGTTACGCTGCCGCACGTTTACCATCTAAATGCTTGTTTATTTTCTTTTTATATTCTCTCGTATTCATATAGGGCCTCATACTGGGGTTGATGTTGCATACATCGAGCTTCTTTAGTGCATTTGGCCTACACTGACTTATATTTTAAACAACTGCTACTCAAAATGGATAAAAAGTATTTCACTCTATTTAGCTTTCTAAATTCTGTTATTCCGGTGCCTATTCCGCGTCAATTTAGCGTGTACATTTTCGTCCAAATTATGTTTGTTGTTAGGTGTGGCTGCGTTTAATGTGAATGTTGATAAAGTGCCTAGCGTTCGAAATACCGCAACCTTGATTTAACTTTCTCCAGCACACAGTTGATCTTTGCTTGGGGAGACGGGGTAGACAGTTCTCGCAAAGGTGCTAGGCTCAAAGAGAAGTTCCATTCAGTGTGGAGCGGGCCACAGCCTAACAACCGTCACAAGTATATTAACTGCACCTGCATGGAAACAGATTTTATCCATTGCCTTCGTGGCTCTGTGCTACTGGATAAACGCTTCGGAATATCCACTACTCTCTATCACGCTTCGGACAAAACCAGCTTATCCATATTATTAGGAGAACAGCTATTAGACATTCATTTATTGTGAACGAGCTTGATAGCTATTCTTTCCTTTCCTTTTTTCTATTTCTTGACTGTTGTTTAAACGCTCTAGTGCGTTCGCCCGATTGGTACATCCGCGTCATTGTTAATGGATGCTCATCGTCATGCCCTTCTCAGCAGCGCTGTTTGCAAGAATATATTCTATTGGTTTTTTCTTCTCATCACTGTTCTACTTGGTTACGTTAAAGGAATATTTAGTGTCACACAATTATTGTGCTGGTTTTCAACTTTTGGGTCTGCATTCCTTATTCGCGTTTGTTTCGTGACTTTCGTTTAAACGCATCATTTCGTCATTCTGATTGGCCAGTGCCCGTCACTGTAAATGGTCATTCGCTTTACGCTTGGAGTCCAATGATGCTATTTTTAAGGACATATGCGATTCGCTCTTACGTACACGGTTGCTTATTCGCCGTTGCATTTTACGTTTTTCCTTCAGTTGGTTGGCTCAAGTGTACTTTAGTAGCTTCCCTTCATTTTGCCTTCAAACTATATAAGCAACTGTGATTTCATGTATACCAATCTCCTTCTGGCTCGTCTTGGACTTCTTCTTTCGGTCGTGGGGTGAAGGCATCAGCGGCGACACAACACATATGGGACAAAGCACGAAATTACGCACTACATATTAACGCACGGACCTCCAGTGACGGCCCGACCTCGATGTCTGCTCCAACAGAAGCCCACCACTACTAAAGCAAGGTTCTAACATGCTTTGCAATGGTAGTATTCGTCTTTCCAATGGCATATGGTCATCCCACTTCATGTGGTTCCAAATAAGCCCAGTGACGAATGAAGATTTTGTGCATACTGCGAGCACCAAACAACATCCCTGTCCGTGATGGATATCCGACTCCTCACATTCATGGATTTTTAATCAGTCTACAAGGGGGAACAATTTTCTCCAAGATAGACTTACTACATACCAATCACTAAATTCCGGTTGCTTCCAACGACATTCCGAAGACCGCCATGACCACGCTATTTGGTCCTCATGAATTCGTTCACATACCCTTTGGTAAAGGAAATGCCGCACAGACTTCTCAAAGGGTCATAAATCAGGTAGTTAAAGGATTCGAATAGGTTGATGACATTCTTGTTGCCAGTTTGGATTGTGTCGGCCGGTGACTGAGTGATCTGCACGCCTACCTTGCAGTCATACGTTCGCCGGTCCAATTCAACGTATGGGCGGGAGTCCTCGCTGCATAATCAGCCCACACGCGACTAGTGGTGGACGCGCGACAGCGAAGCGACGTTAGGGCGTACAGCTCTGTTAGGAGAATAGCTATTTGACATTCCTTTTTTGTAAACGAACTTAATTGCCATTCTTTATTCTTCCTATTTTCTACTTATTGACTGTTGTTTAAACGCTCCACTGTTTTAGCCCCATTGGTACACACACGTCATTGTTAATAGACGCTTATCGCCGTGTCATCTTCAGCAGTGCCAGTTGCAAGAACACATTCCATTGGTTTGTCTCCGCAGCACTTTTCTACTTGGTTACTTAAAGGACTATTTAATTGTCACACAATTATTGTACTAGTTTTTAATTTTTGGGTCTGCTCTTCTTATTCTCCTTTGTTTTGTGACATATGTTTTAACGCCAGGTTTCGTTATTCTGATGGGCCAGTGCCCATCACTGTAAATGTATGTTCGCTTTACGCTTGGCGTCCCATGATGCTGTGTTTGAGGACATATGCGATTCGCTCTTGAGTACACGGTTGCTTATTCGCCCGTTTGAATTTGACGTTTTCCTTCTGTTGGTTGGCTTAATTGTAACTTAGTAGCTTCCCTTCATGTTGCCTTCACAACTACATAAGCAAATGTGATTTCGTGTATACAAGTCTCTTTCCGGCTCGTCTTTGGACTTCTTCCTGCGGTCGTATGGCAAAGGCGTCAGTGGCGACACAACAAGCTGACACATGATTATTATTTTATTAGTTTGAATTGAGATGAGCATTTAGAACACCTTCTATCGATTTTCAAACACTTCGTCAAGTATGGCGCTAGGATCAATGGCGACAAGTGTGCTTGTAGCCAAATTTCCCTTGTTCTTCTGGGCCACTGAATTAACTGTAACGGCGTTAGTCGGTTTCTTGAGAAAATATAGGAAACCGCAGACTGTCCTACACCATAATGTTTTAAAATGCTGCGTAGTTTCCTCGGTATGATAAATTATTGCAATTGTTTCTTAGTAAATTGCTCTGGGCTGCTCCACCCATTGACAGATTTGCTTGGAGGCAAGCCAAGAAAATTCGAATCTACTCAGGAAGCGATTGATGTGTTTGAGAAGAACAAGCACACGGTAGCCAAAGCCAGCAGGCAGTTATTTGAGGTCTGACGCCGACACATCTCGCACCACCGACCAATGAATCGCAGACCATCGTTTGAGCTAAACTCCATTAGTAAAGCATTCACAAACTTGAGCCATTTCCATTTCTCTCTCAAACTTCAACGCGCACAAGGGTGGTCGATATTTTTAACCCTTCACCTTGTCATCAAACAGGTTCAGCATTTTCTCGAAGGTTGCGTGTTTGCACTTCTTACGGACTTGTTAGACAGGATCACGCTTGACAGTCGTTCACAGCTAGATCGTTGACATCTGTGACTGTCCTGTCCCCTGCTTACGTTGCACGCACACACCCCAGTCGTTCAGAGTCAGGCCGCTTACCACTCATGACTATGTCCTTTCATGTGGTTGGCTGATCTCTGTGCATTGTATTTGTCCCGGCATTTCAGTTTTCCAATACAGCATAGTCCCAGCACGGTATGTTCATTCTTCCGGTTCGGAGTTGGTTCTGTTACAGTCAGACGTTATAACAGACTGGCAACGGCATTCCGGTTTGCAAACCACGACGGTCCATTTGGAATTTCTTCAAGAAATGCTCTCCAGACCGTAAGCACAGTTC